CCACGGAGAGGTGTATCGATCGCAAAGGCGCAACACAACGTCTTGTACGGTTGTAGTCGGATCGTCAACATTTCTCTCAAATTGTAGTTATCCACAACTCACCGAAAGATCGGACCAAAAAACTACCTTAAGTGTCTTGTAGAACTCAGGGTTCATTGACTGTTGTACGTAAGATATATGCTTTGTACATATGGATGTTGGGGAGGGACGAGTGATTATGTACATAAGGGAGGTGTGAGGTGGAAGGGGTTTGTGTTTTTGAACGATTGATCTAACAGTTGAAAATAATGGGTCAACCGATTTAAGTTATAACAGATAACTAAGCATTTTTTATTATAATTTTTATATGATTTTTTTATAATTTATTAAAGTTCCATGTAGCGGCTTAGGAGTGTTCGTAGGATGTCATATGATAATTTAGGAGCGTTTTGATGATGTTTAATGGGCTTAAATTTTTGTGTGTTTCTTGCATGGTATCGGTGGGAAATGGATTTGTTTTCCTTCAGAATTGTTATGACATATTCGTGTAATTCCTACTAATATTTGTGGAAACCAAAGGATAATATAGCGATGAATCAATAGGAATCCAAATTGCATACTGTTTTTACATCCTATAATCCAAAGGAGCCTAGAATTTTAATTTTAGATCCTAAATATAGCTTTGAGCTGAATCCAATTTTTTTATGGTGTATTTATGTTTGTTTGGATTTCAGAAATAAAAAGAAAGAAATAGAGGGTTGTGAGGCCAAAGTGCTTGTGCTTACGTACTTACATACGGTTTTTATGTGCACGTGTATTTAGGGATTTGTAGACTTAAATTTAATTGTTTTTTCATGATAGATCTAATGGTTTTTTAACGGTGTATTTATTTTTTTATTTCAGAAAGAAAAAGGAAAGAAAAAGAGGGACATGAGGCCAGCTAGTTACGTACATACGTACCTGTTGGGGTACGCCTAATGGGCTATCGATCGCCCGGCGACAGGGGTAGCGATCGATCCCCCTCCTTTCCTCCACCTGTTTACTTTTTTGGCACCGTATTACTTTTCTATTTTAGTAAATTTATGCACCTAAAGTTTATATACCTCAAGTTTACACATCTAAAGTTTAGAGACCAAAAGTTTATAAGTCAAAACTTTATATATCCGATTCAAATTTGAATTTGAATTCAAATATTTTTATATATAGTATTTCTATACACCTAAAGTTTATACACCTAAAGTTTATAAATCTAAAGTTTATAGACCCGTTTTAAATTTGAATTTGAATTATATCTGATTCAAATTTAAATTTGAATTCAAATATTTTCTATATATAGTATTTCTATACATTATAGACCCAAAGTTTATAAGTCAAAAGTTTACATACCCGATTTAAATTTGCATTTAAATTTTATAAACCTAAAGTTTATAGACCCGCTTCAAATTTGAATTTGAATTATATCTGATTCAAATTTAAATTTGAATTCAAATATTTTCTATATATAGTATTTCTATACATCTAAAGTTTATAGACCCAAAGTTTATAAGTCAAAAGTTTACATACCTGATTTAAATTTGAATTTAAATTCAAATTTTTTATATATAGTATTTCTATACATAAATTTTTCTAATAAACAAAATGCTTGTGAAAATGTGTAAACTTGAGGTGTACAAACTTTAGGGTGCATAAATTTACTAAAATAGAAAAGTAATATGGTATCTAAAAAGAAACCAGGTGGAGAGAGGGAATCAGAATCTGATTGCCCCCTAGCGACCCCTAGCGATCGATCGCTAGGTATCATTCTCGTACGTGTTGTGCTTACATGCATGTGTACGTAGGATTGATGAAGATAAATTTAATTGATATTTTTTTAATTTAAGATAGATCTAATGGTTGAAAATAATGGGTCCATCAGATTAAATGAAAATCGACGGTTAGATATTTTGTCTTTTTTAGAATTTGTTGAAATGCCATGTGGCGGCTTAAGAGTGTTTTTAAGGTACTATGTAGTAGCTTAGGAGCGTTTGTAGGAAGTTTAATGAACTTTTACTATATAATAGATCTTTGTGTTTTTCCTTCGTAGGATATCCATATCTATACTTTCTATAAAGTTATAACCCACTAACTCTAAAGCTTGACATACAACCATGCCACATCATCCACTAGCAATAATTCATGCAAGCATACTTACAATATGTTATACATTAAAGAGTAAATTTCATTTTTTTCATGATAAATACTGATAAGCCTTAAGATTTGTTTTTTTTCTTTTTTGCTACTAGCTCAATTGTAACGAAAAATAATATTGAAAATTAATTAGTAATTCCTATAGCAAAACGCGGGGAATCACCTAGTATATCTAATGGGATCTACCAAGTAATCAAAAATCCTACTGGGATTTACAAGAGCAGACCATATATTTACATTGGAAAATCAGAGAAAGGGATGTACCTTGCATCACTTAAAACTGACTATTGCCTTTCAATTTGGGTCCTTAATGAATCGTGTGGCGAGTTTAAGTGGGTATTGAAGCACCAAAACAACCTTAAGCCCTATGCTTTGTCTGAACCATAGCAAACAAGTTTATGGACCGTGGATTTTAGGGGATATTAACTATTATCTTTATAGCCAAAAGTTTCTAGGGGAGTGGGATTTATACAATTGGGAATATGATCCCGCTAATTTTCATTCTTCAGAATGGTGAATCACCGGCTGGAAATAATTTCGAATGGTATTCTGATGATGATAATAACATTGTAGACAATCAAGGCAACAGTCTTAATGATGGTGACCATCTTGAATTCCTTGGATTTCACCCTTACAAATAGTGGCGGATCCAGAAAGAAATAGCAATAGGGTCTGAGCAAACTAAATAGAGTTACAGTCTCCCCTCCCATCTAAATATGGTAACAAAAAATTTAGTGAGGTTTTCGTAGAGTCTCTCATAGTCTTCACGCCAGTAGTGGGGGCTCGAGACCCCGCCCCCCATGCTGGATCCGCCCCTGATTACAAAGAGGTTGTCTATCTGAATTCCGCATCAATAAAAGGATGGGTCTACGAGTAGCTGAAGGATTCAATATTTCACCGTTTCACCACAGTCCCTCAGGTATACGGGTCTCGCCAGCTAAAACGCGATCAGCCCCCCCCCCACCCCCGCGCGCTGCAAGGCACAAGGCGCGCGTAGAGTGGGCCGCGCGGCAGCGCGTGTCGGGGTGGAGCCGCGGTTTTTTCCATTGGTTTTTTTTTCTGATTTCGGTTTTTTTCTTTCCGTTTTTTGCGGTTTTCCATTCGTTTTTTTTCTTTCCAGTTTTTTCTTTTTGGTTTTTTTAGTATATACGTATACATATAAAAAGTTTGTATGTGTGTATACAAACTTTGTATACGACGTATATACAAACTTTATATACGTCGTATATAAAGTTTGTACATTTGTATTCGAATATACATGATGTTTTTTTTGTTTTTTCAATTTTTTAATATGTATGTATAGAGAGTTTGTACACGTTATATAGAAAGTTTGTATACATCATATACAAAATTTGTACAAAATTTGTACATGTCGTATACAAAGTTTGCATATGTGTATATTTTTTTTATACATAAAAAATATATACCTATAAAAATATATTTTTTATAGTAGTAATACTAGTAGTAGTATAGCAGCAGTAGTAGTACTGGTACTAGTAGTGTATAGTAGTGTAGTAGTAGTACTAGTAGTAGACTACTAGTAGTAGTAGAGTAGAGTAGTAGAGTAGTACTGGTCAGCGGTCGCGCACCTAGGGGGCCGCGCGACTAGTCGTGCATTAGCCCCTCCCCCCTGCCCCCGCGCAGGCACCCACAGTCCATCAGGGCTTCACACAATATATCCTTCGGACCATAGATGTTGAACTAGCCAGGCTCTAATACCAACTGTAGAATCGTAAGATGCCTTTGCCACCTCAAAAGCTAGCCATTGAGGTGAAGGGCTCCCTCACTTATATATTAGAGTATGTACAATAACATATTATAAACCAGCTATAAACATATTTCGAGAAAATAAAAGACGATAAAGAAGAGCAGTGGGCTACAGATTTATAGCCAGCTGCAGTACATACTCCAAGATGCATGTGTGTATGATAGGTGGGACCAAATATTAATTGTGTAGTATATGCTTGGTAACTATTGTATGAACTGGCTATTATTAGATTAACTATAAATGATTTGGAGCCACTAGTTGGCTATACTATTAAACTTGCTCTTAGGGATGTGTGTTCGGAACTACTGATTCCCAGCTCCTCCGCCTCGTTTTCTGCACGCACGCTTTTTAAACTGCTAAACGGTATGTTTTTTTGTAAAAAAATTTCTATACGAAAGTTGCTTAAAAAATCATATTGATCCATTTTAAAAAAAATTAGCTGATACTTAATTAATCACTCGCTAATGGACCGCTCCATTTTCCGTGCGCACTATGCATGTCAGGAACCCATATTGCTCCAAACACAGCCTAGGTCCCTTGTCCTTAGACAACTAATGTTAGACTATTCAACGGTTTGATTACATCACTCAAAATTGAGAACAATGTTATATGTCCTTTTTGATCTTGAGCTATTACCCTGGAACGGTGTTGCACTTATCTTATGATATGCAGAGCTATTACTGTGGAACAGTGTTGCATGTTATCTTGTGATGTGCTCTTTTCTTATCTTGAGATATTACAGTTTGCCTCATCATATGCCCGCGCAACGCGCGGGGGGCACAGCTAGCTAGTTAATCTAGCGAATATTGTTTGAGCGCACACATTTGACAAAGAAACCTTTTGGCAAAGCAGTTCGTTGATGGCTAACTTTTTGGCGCAGGCTAATTTGCATTAAGCAAACTAGCACTACACTAATTAACTAGCAGTACTAGCATGCCAAGACGTGGCAACTGACGCATTAATCCAAATAGGACTTTGGCTGTGTTTAGTTCAGCGCAAAGTTTATATTTTGGTTGAAATTGAAGATGATGTGACTGAAAAGTTGCGTGTGTATGACAGGTTGATGTGATAGAAAAGGACTGAAGTTTAGATCCAAACTTTGGATCTAAACACAGCCTTTGTGCTGAATGAATTTTCTCAGTGTTTCGTCCTTTACTCATACCACAACAGCAATTCATCTCAACCTGGCATTACCTAACTGCTAATTGATCCACAGTGTAAATAATATACGCCTACGATTGTTATTTTCAACAATAAATCTAACATTGCTAGAGTGCACCAAATTTATTTCAATTCAATAAAACTGGACATATCGACACAGTTCCATCCAATGTACTGCAACTAAAATTTGTTGTGGTCCTTCTAGCAAATATCACTTCCTCAAAGCATCACTGCATTGTACAAGAAAAGGTACACATTAAACTAAGAATATATGTTATACCTATTTTAAATATTTTTATAATGACTGGGATCGATCTAGTACATGTATTATGGAAGTTTAGTAATTGGGAGTGTGCAAGATTTACAGAAGTTATACACAATTTCTGAGTGCATCCTAGCAACCTACTACAGGTGCATGTACTTCTAGGGATTTACTAATATTTTGATCATAAAGAAAATATGAGCACCCATTACTTCCAAGGATCTATTGTTACGAATGCAAAGCAGAGTAAAATTAATTTTAGACTCCAATCATATTAAAAGTTGAAGATCATACCGTTTGTTGACATCACACTCTAGGACTGGGGGTCATTAATCCTTTTGATGACGAGTTCTTTTGGTCTCATTGCTTTCGACATAAGTAAAACCTTAAGAGGTCGGAGTGCATCCTCTTTGCTATTTATATAAACTTCGTCTTTTCTCATTTTTTTAACATAGCCCTGCACTTCGCTGCTATCCCATGGTAATCCGATCATTCCCACACTTGAAAGCATACCCCAATTATGCAGTAGTCCTATGCTTTTAATCTTTTCCTTTAAGCTGATGCCCTCATTACTGTCCCAATCAGCAATGACCGGCTCAAACACTTCTTTAAATCTTGCAGATTCAGGGATTACTAACAGTAGTGTTGCTGTTGCATTTTGGAGGACTTCCTTGGGTGTAGTAGATGGGTCGTAATCCCAAAGAATATCTACAGCATCTAAGGCATGTCTCCTGCTTAGGGGTAGATCTTCCAGTTTTCTAAACCCACCCATCCCACCCTCTCCGTATCCTCCATTAATTTCCAATTCAGTGGAACCCGGGATCAAAACTTTGTACCCATTGAAACTATACCAACCTCCATATTTATCTGTGAACCCTATCAAGTATAAGTTATCGGTCCTAAAAGCCAAGGTAACGGACCCCTTACGGGCAATTAGTCTGGGTAGGATCCAACCAAATGGCACTTCTCGATCGGTATCTGTTTGATTTCTAAGAACCTTCAGGGTCCCTAAGTGAAATTCAGATTCTTTGGTTGCACAGTCAATGAAGCTAACAATAAATGAAGCCTGCTGATCCTGTTTGAGGTCGTATGTCATTTCATAAATTTCTGCTCCAGTCCCCCTATATAAAGCCATTAGACAATTGAATTAAACATATACTCCCTCCGTCTCATAGTATAAGGGATTTTGAATTTTTGTTTGCACTGTTTAACCACTCGTCTTATTCAAAAAATTTTGAAAGTATTATTATTTTTTTTGACTTACTTTATTATCCAAAGTACTTTAAGTGCAACTTTTTGTTTTTTATATTTGCATAAATTTTTTGAATAAAACGAGTGGTCAAACAATACAAGTAAAAAACTCAAAATCCCCTTATATTATGAGACGGAGGGAGTACTAGCACTAGAAATGCATGAAGAACACAATAGGAAAGTACAATTGGACATAATTATTTGTTTCAAATAATCATTTCTTCCCGTCAATTAAATTGCAGAAAATTTTACCTACAACTTAAAAAAAGTCTTTGAAACTTGCTTAACTGAAAGTAATAAAGTGTATAAATAAATCACATCTGTACTAAAAGAAAATAAAATTATTCTTTAAATCCATTTTAATATTATATAATAGGATAAAATATAATGTTAGAGGTATAAATTATTTTGAAATGTCTAAACATAAGGTAAAAACGTTTTAAAATTTATTCTCTTAATTATATATGAGAGAAATGCATAAAGTTTTCTTCTTACTATAATTAATTTTAGAATCCAATTTTTTATTTAACAAAGGAAAAGTTCATTTTATACTCTAAACTACTTTAATTAAAGGAAGATCAATTCAAAAATAACTTATGTTTATGCACGTTGACAATATAAAAGCATTTAATATACAGTATATACCTGAATGGTTCATCTAGTGATTGCGCACTGACAGCATGAACTAGATATGATAGTGCCACCAGGATCAACAAATTAGTGCTAATAATTTCTTTCAAGCTCGTGGAGGTACTGCATCTGCAGATAGTAGGGAGAATATAAAGATGGATTTCTTTCACACTTTAGAAAACTATTCATGAAATGCAATTAAAAGAACACTCTAAAGTAGAATATTATATGGAGCAAAAATAATAAAAACATGTCCAAGTTAAAAAAAAAAGAATACATCCTTCTTTTATGGATTAACTATATACGTATTTTTTTCAATATCTTAAGACCTGACCAAACATTACCCTACGCAAATCTCAACATATAATACTGGTAAGTTTCTGTAAATGTACAAAATAATTACAACATTAGGGATGCTTAAGATCAGTTACAATCTACCGCTAAGCCAAATTAAATTGTCAAATGTTTTTTTCGTATTTCTTTCACTTTTGTGTTACTTCAGAAAACTTTACAAATTTTACCGCTAAGCCAAATTAAATTGTCAAATGTTGTTTCGTATTTCTTTCACTTTTGTGTTACTCCTTCAGAAAACATTACAAATTCTTGGTAAAATGGTTAGCGATATATTCAAGGAATTAAAAATGTTATGCGGGAGCAAATATATATTATAACAATAAAAAAGTGAACAAATTAACAAACTTAAATGGCTTTCGATCTGATCTACTGTTAGTCCGACAATTTACTACTGAACTGTACCATTACATGGCTTTGCCGTTCCCTTGCGCTAACAATGTAGTATTTTTTTTCCCACAAAAGCAAGGTCTCATAGTTGATTATTAACTAAAAAGGTGTAGGCTATATATATTGCATGGATAAACACACTACGCAACAAAAAATATAGTTAATTTGTTTTTTAAGGAAAAATAGCTAGTTTGTCGACTAATAAAACTAGTTATAACGGGCTATTATATACTCGCTCCGTCGCATTTTAAGTGTAACCATAAGTTTATGCGCCCAATTTTGATCGTCCGTGTTGTTTGAAATTTTTTTATAGTTAGTACTTTTGTTATGAGATGATAAAATATGAATAGCACTTTACTCGTGACTTATGTTTTTAATTTTTTTTAAAATATTTTTAAATAAGATGGACGGTTAAAGTTAGGTGTAGAAAATCATTGCTGCATTTAAAATGAGAAGGTGTGAGTATATGGCACAGAGTAAAATGAGACAAAGCTGTTGGAAAAAAAAAATGCCGCAGAGTAATCTCACAGCAGTCTGTGTTCACTGGCGTTTTGCCCGTGGCCTGTTGCTGCGCGCCGGGGTCGACGAGCTGCAGGTGGTCGAGTAGAGTACATAACAGTAGGGCAAGCTAGCTGCCTATGCTAACTCACGTACCGTATACATGCATAATCTATGTATCTACCCTACTGATGCGTGATGACTGCTCTTCGCTTTGCAGGACAAATAATATGGGCAGGCTGCAGCAGGCCAGCTATAAAAGTTGTGGACGACTGTGTAGCTAGCTAGGGAGTTAAACATGCATGCTCTTATGAAAATAATTATAAATCACCCCATAAACCACTAGTAAGTACAAAACAAGGTTTCCTAATATAATGTACTCCCTTCGTTTCTAAATATTTTACACCATTGATATTTTAGCACATATTTGACCGTTCGTCTTATTTTTTTTTTTATAAAATATGTAAAACTATATGTATACATATAAGCATATTCAACAATGAATCAAATAATAGAAAAAGAATTAATAATTACTTAAATTTTTTTGAATAAGATAAACAGTCAAACATATTAAAAAAAGTCAACTGTATCAAATATTTAGAAAACGGAGTATATTCTGCCCTCTGGCGATACATACATACAGTTATTTTGAATTTTATCACTGTGTTGCTCCTTCTGTTTGCTTAGAATTTTAAATGCCGATTCATATATTTTTATATAAGTTTGTGGCGAAAGATCAGTTCAAAACAAGTCGGCCTACCGAGGTGATAAACAGCAATTAATTAATGTTAACGTTAATTACCTGTTATGTTTGAGTCCGCGGCGAGCTTCCATACATGCTTTCGCCGCAACGCGGGGATGCATACCCCTGGTATGAAAACAAAGTAGAGAAGTACGTATTAGATACGGGCAGTTCGGCGTGCGGCACAGTGGATATATAGTCGCGATTAATCGGTCCATTTCATTCGTTTAGCAAAAACTGATTAAATCAAAATGAGCTGCTCCCCTAAAACTCTAACTGAAGCATTTTATATAATCACCGAAAACATGGGCTTAAGATGAATTTAATTAAATTTATAGCTCATATTCTTTCTTTTTATAACTGGGAATTTTTTATGGATGTTGAGGCAATGTTTTAGAAGACCAAAAGTTAATTTGTGACGAAAGATCGGTTCAAATATGAAAAGTGTCGTTGTGATCCTTCTGCGGTAATAACAGCAATGTAAACATTAATTACCTATACATTTTTTTTAACGAAGCTCCTCCGTCCTAAAATGTAACTATTTTTAAGATTGGTACAGGTTAAGAAATTAGATGAGAATGATTTGAAGAAGTGTGTGATTGGTTGAAAAGAAAAAATAGGTGGAGAAAAATGGTTGTGATTGGTTGAAAGGATGAGGAAAGTGGAGAAATAACTTTATTTTAGTATAAAATACTGTGCTAAAAATAGCTATATTTTGGGACGAATGATGTACCTGTTAAGTTTCAGTCCACCGCGAGCTTCCATACGGGTTTCCGTTGCAACGCCGGAATGCATACACCTGGAATGAAAACAAAGTCGACAAGTATTAGATATAGGCAATTGGACGGCACTGGGGTCTGGGGATGGAGGAGAGGCTCTCTCACCGTCTCATCCGCCGACCGGCCGGCCGGCGGCAGCTGACAAGGCTTTTCTTGCCTGACGAAACTGGGAGCGAACAGTACAATGTGAGATGCAGGACCAAAAAAGAAAATGGCAGCAAGAAAGGCAAACAAATGGAAACCGGGGACACTCACCGGCTCACTGATGGCCAGATCGACGAGGGCCGCGGCAGATAGGCCCCCTGGAGCTACCTGAAACTGTGAGCGAACAGTAAATTGTGATGAATCTGAGAGCAGAGAGCAGCACAAAAAAAAATTTTTGGGTGCAATGCGATGGGAGTAAAAACCCGGGACACTCACCGGCTCACCAACGGGAGAACGAGGGAGGCCGCGGCAGCGGACAAGAGGCTCCAGAGCGAACATTTAAAACCGGAGCAGCGAGGACGACTGCAGGTGGTCGTGTGGCATGATCGCGGCAGGTGAGGGGTTCGTGTGGCGTGATCGCGACCGGGTCATTTTCTCGGGTGCGTCTAGCGTGATTGCGACCGGGTCATCTTGTGGGTCTAGCCATTGAGTGGCAGTGTGGCTGCAAAAACTAGAATTACATTCATGTGCTAGGAGTTAGAAACATGCCATCCTTTCTTTGGATACAAGTGCATCCAACTAATGTGACCATGGTTACTGAAAGATATCGAGATCAAGCCGTAAAAGGTACGGAATCTAGTTCAGTCACCTACAACAATATTGATTTCGAACAGCCACCAAATATACATAGAAGCTTCGTTTTTAACTTGTGAGTACATGATGCAAAGCTCTCAGAGTTCTCTTTCCAATGAATCTAGCATCATCTCCAAATTCCATCTTAGTCAGTTGAAATCACAAAAACAATATGCTACATCACCTATGATGAGCCTATAGGCTTGTAACTTCAATTTGGAACCCTGGCACAAGTGGAGCCCATGTGGGTGCATCCCAACCTGGTGGAGTATGACCCTAGAGACCCCTTGGCGGTCCTCCCACCTCCTTAAATAACAAGGTACCCTTCAGGGTTTCTTGGGTATTGTTTATATTAAAGTTTAGCTTCGCTATTTGCCATGTAATCTTGTGATTGGTTAGATCGCCGGTTTGCTCGTTACGGAAACCCAACTTATTATTTGTATTAAATTTCTATTTGTAATCCAGATTGCTTTTATCTTGTTTTGCTTGTTTCTTTGATTTGCTTGCAGAAATAAGGTTGATCTGCACCGGCAAGATTAAAAACTCGCGGAGAGGTATATTGATCACTAAAGCGCAACACAATAATGTCTCGTACGGTTGTAGTCATGTCGTTAACGTTTCTTCCAAATTATAGTTATCATCAACTCGCCTAAATATCATGCCAATCAAAGCCATGAGCTTATCGAAAGGAGCTCAGGGTTCATCTCTAACCCATTACCAGCTCTCACATTGTGCCACATCATCCTTACTAGAAAAAATGCCCGTGCATTGCAACTGGTGAAAGATATTTTAATCTTATTATTGTTATACGGTTTAGCTAAGATAAAATTTACTCTAGAAATTCACTTGATTTTTTTAAAGAAAATCATGAGCTGCAATTAGGAGTCCGACTTTCATCTCAAGTTAGCATATGAGTTTTTTTTTAAATATTTCTTATACGACTCCTTTTGTATTTACAAAAGCGAACAAATATAAAAACTGACTCAAACATTAATCTATATTTTTAAAAGTGAGCGAAATTAAAAACCGACTCAAACAAGAACGACGTACCAAAATACCGGCAAAAACATCTTCAATTTTTATAATATTAGAGATTTGTTTAAGCCACTACCATAGAAAAGATTTATGGAAAAGATTTCTGCAGATAGCGGACAGCTAAAATCAGTTTTTCAAAGCGGTTAGGCGGCTCGCAGATGTCTATGAGAAATGTTTGGTAATTATTGAAGGCTGGCCACCCAACCACGTAAGGAAAATGATTATCCCAGGTGGCCGCCCTAACATGACGGAGTTAAGCGGCTCAACTGGAAAGAAGGTTTTTCCATGCAATTGTGGCAAATTAGGCTCGCTTGGGAAGAAGCACCATATTTATAGATTTCCTTGCCTATTTTCAAATCAAAATTTGAAAATGTTTTTCAAATTGAAAATTTTCAGTTTTGAGTGGCGCTATCCTGTAGTAGTACTATAGGCTACAGCTAGCGGTATTTTCTGTACCTCTTAATATACTAATATTTGGGTTGACAAATATGTTGAATATGCACAAACGGAGACATATCTGTAATATCTATATAGTTGATGCCCACCGACTTTTAAAGCTAAAATATATCACATCATTACCCACTATAGCAATTATTATTTAGAATATTTTAAATATCATACAAACATAACATATCATTTGCAGTTTTGTTGTATTTTTAAAACTAACTTAATAAAGAAGCAATGTCAAATCATTATCTCCACATCATTTTTTTGCATTATTTAAACATATCCCGCAGCAAAACGCAGGCTATCGACTAGTATAAATATATGTTTATGAAGTGAGCATTTTTATAGTCCCTGATAAGGTACCATGAGGTACCAAAATTTTTATGTAAAATTTGGTACCTCATAGTACCTATTAGTACCTAGGTATTGTGAGGTACCAAATTTACAATAGAAAAGGTGATATCTTATGGTACCTTCTTAAGTACTGTAAAATTGCTCGTCTAAAGTTGATTACAAATGGTCTATCTTGGATCGCATAAGAATAAAGTTTTCATTGTATATGTTCTTTTTCCCGTTCTCAAAGTAGCTTGTATTTGTCTTCTGTCGCCAGTGCGCTGCATCGTTGAAAAACAGACCAAGAGCGTTGCAACAGCCATGTTGGATGCAGACATTCATAAATGTTCTCTTATCCATCCGTTGTGCTAGGAATCTATAATAAAAATATGTTTATAGATTTTATAAATATTATTGTTGACATCCCTATATTGTACTACAAAATAGTAATTTTTGGAAAGAATAATCCCTGAACTTATATTGTCATGGTTTGTTGTCACTAATGCGGAATAGATCATATGTATCAGACGGGAATCCTCATCTGTGTCGGCAAGAGGCCATCATGGATTATTGGTTAGTGATGTGAAAAATCATCTTTCTCGATCCGACCACCGTCACCGATGACAGTCATGTTTGTCGGGCCTAACTGAACACCTGTCACCGATGAATTTGACCTAGAAATGAGTCGACCTACAGTCTATCACCGACTGTCACCGATGAGTCATCCGTGATGGTCCCGTACTAAAACCCGACAAAGATGACTAGGTCACCTTTTGTCGGTTTCCTTTGGAGATCGTCACAGATGACTCATCGGTGACGGTTTCTTCTTTAGAACCGACGTCACCGATGTGCATCTGTCATGTTGGTTTGTAAAAACCTGACACCGATGATTAATTTATAAAAAGATATTTTTATGGCTAAAAATATTTTTTATGATTAACCTCATGCCTTTGCTAGGAAAATCATTTCATAACACAAAACACATTCATTTCGCAAATCCATTGACATGTTATACATCCATGCATTCACATTAACATGTACAAGTATTTCACATTTCACCAAACCGTCGATATGCATCTCCAAGAGTTAAGCATTACAATGTGCAACAACCGAGTTACCATTTGGAAGGAGATATGTAATTAGCAATGCAAATATATACAGAAGCATATGATATTGTACTATATAATATATACATAAATGTCACATGATCATATGTCTTTGGACGAGCTAATTAATCTCACACAAGCATTGTTAAATGTTCCACAATTTTTGGACAGGCTACTTTAAAACGAAGCTTCCTTTTGAAGATGTTATTTCTGCAATTATGAAGGCATCTAACTCTTCTCTAATGTGTTCAAATTTGTGCGGCGGATTGTGTAGACGTTTTAGGTCACGACTACGGTATTTGGATGGTAGGGAGATCATCGGTACCAGGGTATATGCAAGATTGAGGTAAAAGAGACAGAGATAAGGATTTTATACATGTTCGGGTCCCTTATCTGACGGGTAATAGCCCTACTCCTATTGGCCGAAGCCGGTGTTGCTCTTTACTCATCTGATTCACACAAGCACAATAATTGAGATAACCTATCTAGTTGTCGTCGACTTGCCGGTATGGATCACCAACACGTAGTCGACGACAGGGTAGTCTTCCTCCTCAAATACGAACTCGTCGATATCTGAGATGGCACTAAATCCCTCTTATCGGCCTCCGCAGGCACCATATGGGGTCTGTCTAGGCTTATCTCTGATGTCGATGTTTGGCGGCATGTGTTGGTGTCTATTCTATCTTGTGTGTCTGTTTGTCTTGTCCTGTCTCCCCTTCTCCTAGGGGGTCTTGTATTTATACCCATAGATGTCCCCTTATCCAAGTAGAACTAGGGAGACAATTATAGATACGATCTGAGTAGTCATTGTAGTTTCCATATAGAACTCTACTTATCCTTCCTTATTCGGAACTACTTCTCTATACGAGGTATGATTCCATATAAGACTTGGTATGTGGTAGGCCCCGCTGAGCTTTAGTCGATTACTATTGGATATGTGGTATCCATAGCCATGACAGATTGTTGTTAATGCTTGCCTGCAAGTGGAGGCACCAAGTTAGCATACAGTTGAGCAACTAACATTTTTTTACAACTAAGTACATGCAAGTAAATACGAACCTCAATATCTAGCAATGTCACCTTATTCAGCAAGGTCTTTATGTTATGGCACATGTGGAAACCACAAGTTTCACCAATTTGTTGATGGCATGGGAAGTCTTTGTGGTGATAGAGGTTCTCCCCCTCCCCCCCTCCCTCCCCCCTTTGTCACCTTATTCAGCAAGGTCTTTATGTTATGGCACACGTGGAAACCACAAGTTTCACTAATTTGTTGATGGCATGGGAAGTCTTTGTGGTGATAGAGGTTCCCCCCCCCCTTTTCCACGTTTGGTGCCCACGCATCATAAAATGAACCTTTAAGCATGAAAAAGTCATATTTATCACTTATTCGGGAGTTAAGGTAGTAGACCTTACTCCACTTCAACACTATGACTAAGAGAACCCAATGGTACTTGCGGCATTAATATATTGCAAGTTAGAAACTATAGCTATGCGCATCTTTACTTTTCATCTAATTAGGTAACACGTTTACTGATGATTATGAGCTAGTAGGATGAAGCTTTTGTTCTGATGAGCCCACAAGTAGTCTTTGACATAAGTTATCAACACATCTAGTGAACTCGTCAGATTTGTCTCGCTGACTTGGGTTGTATATAGGAAGAGCTTTGTTATAGTCCAGCACTTGGTACCCTGGGGTACTGGTATCATTAGGTACCAAAATAAATCCAATCGTTCAATTGCAAAGGTTACGATCGGGAAAAAAAAGGTAAAACG